CAACAAAGCACAGCTTCGTAAAATATCACACAAGACATGGTGCCGCATCCAGTGGCGATTCTGGAACTCTGAAAATGTTGGGGCCACTTGGGGTCCGAGATTTTCTGCGGATAAGGGGGGCAAATTCAATCAGCGTCTTTATTTTCATACTACCCCACTATCGTATACACAACTTAGGAATGAGTTTTAGTATAAGTATGTTACTTCACTAAATTAAACGGAACAACTTTTCATTCATAGTAGTGGAGTTCTAATCTATTCTTGCCCTCTTTTCCACTCTCATGTTGGACCACAAGAGGGGTTAACTTCAAAACAAAATCAAAGGGTTAATACTAACATCAATACTAGCAGAACAGTGTAATTTGTCTGCTCTGATTTTTTTCCTCTACAAAACTTAGAAGCGGGGCAACCGAGGGGCCAGTCATTCTGCCCCACCCCCTCTGTAGAATCGCCACTGGCCGCATCATTTTGTGCCACGAAAATGATGGTGTTCAAACAGACCTTCTCGATGTGTGACAGCGTCAATGCAAGTGAATAAACTGAATCCAGTACATATGCTTTGTATTACTTGTTCTTCTATTGTTTTCATTACCTTTTTGGTAGGGGTGACAAGACTTTCGGACCACCCTGTAGTAGCACGATTAAATTCATGCGGTTGTGGTACCAAGGAGGGGAGCTCATTAGACCACCATGAAAATATTTATAGAAAAGCCAGAGGGAAGACCCGTCACCGTAGTGGGAAAGTAACTGAAGTCGAGATGCCAGGTCAGGAACGATAACATTACAGACCATGCTTTGGATTTTGTCGAGAATTCTGGTCGTTTTTGAGTCTATGAGAATTTACTTGAGGATAAGTAAATATTGGTCGTCCATATATATATATGTATATATATATATATATATAGTCTCTGAACTTGGTAGGTACCATCATCTTACACCTCCGCAGATGATACAGTCGTTGTATTCCAGTCCCCGTCACCAATGTAGGCCTCGGGATTTGTTCGTTTATATTTGAGTCTATGATATATAGTCTCAAGATATATAGACGGAGCACCAGACCAGATATGGCAGCAATATTGAATGGTAGATTTATAAATGTGAAAGATGGAATCTGACAAGAAAAATTTGGGGGCACGGCAGACAAACCAATTGATCCTGAATTTGTTCAGAGAAACGGCTGAATATTCCATGAAGATCATAAAATAGATTTTGTTATTGGTGGACACAATCCTACCAACATAAGGCACGCAGATGACGCCGTTAGGAAAATTAATGACGAAGTAGAAAAAAAAATGAAAGAAAAAAAACAATTTTTGTCGTTAATTTTCCTGGCATTGTTCTGATATACAAAAAATTATATATCATATTCTCCCAGATGACACGGTGTTGATGGCAGACACGGAAAGAAACCTACAGGAACTCCGAGACAAAAAAAAAAGGTTGTAAATGAAGCAACGGGAAAAGACTAACCAACAATTGTAAGAAGAGAGAATGTGTGACCTTTAGCAAGAGGGATTGCCCAAGACCGTGTTACGAATTGGAGATGTCAGAATTATTCAAATACAGAACCTTAATGATCTGGGAAATGTTATAACAGATGTCAGAAATTGTGATACAGATATCCAAAGCTACATTGAAATGACTAAAGATGCCTTCCAAAATCTAAACAAAATATTAACAGGAAAAATTCGTTCACAAAAAAAAAAGAAGAAAAAAACCTATCAGAATTTGGTTAATTCAGGGAGAGATAAGTATTGGTCATTTATATTTGAGTTTATGGGAATTTACTTGGTTTGTTGGTGATAGGTAAATATTGGTAGTCTATATTTGAGTGTCTAAACTTGGTCAGTACCACGTTCTTACACCTCCGCAGATGATGCAGTCGTTGCATTTCAGTCCTCGTCACCAGAGTAAGTAAATATTGGTCGTTTATATTTGAGACTATTCTATATCATTTATGGCATTTAACTGACTGAAATATTGGTCGTTTATATTTGAGACTATGATATATCATTTATGGCATTTAACTGACTGAAATATTGGTCGTTTATAATTGAGACTATGCTATATCATGTATGGCATTTAACTGACTGAAATATTGGTCGTTTATATTTGAGACTATTCTATATCATTTATGGCATTTAAATGATTGATGTACTGGTCGTTTATATTTGAGACTATTCTATATCATTTATGGCATTTAACTGACTGAAATATTGGTCGTTTATATTTGAGACTATTCTATATCATTTATGGCATTTAACTAACTGTAATATTGGTCGTTTATATTTAAGACTATGATATATCATTTATGGCATTTAACTGACTGAAATATTGGTCATTTATATTTGAGACTATATTATATCATATATAGCATTTAACTGACTGAAATATTGGTCGTTTACATTTGTATCTACGAGAATTAATTTTCTAAGTGTCACCATCTTACTCCGCAGATGATGTTATCGCACACCATCAACATGTATAGGTAAATATTAGTCATGTTTATTTGTGTCTATAAGCATTCACTTGGTAGGAGGCTCCTTTTGACGCAGAGGAAGTCATTCCTCTGCAGGAAACGGTCTCGTCGAATTGGAATAGCGAAAGATGCCTTACAAAAGATAGATAAAGTATTAAGAGACGAGAAAATTTATTCAGAAACAAATAACGCTAAACTGTTATGCAATATAAATCCTTCAAAATAGCAGTGAATGCTGGTCAATACTGGAGATATCTTCTGTGTATGCCGTGTCCCTTCAGGAT